GTACTAGATAAATTAAGTTTGTATTTATAGATTGTTATAAACTATTAGTGCTTGATAAATTATGGATTATTATTTAAGTTTGTGTTTATGTTGTATTGTATTTGTGTTTTTATTTGAGTATTATTAACAATATTTAAACTTATTGAATTATGTATTAAGTATTTGAGTATTTAACTATCCTTACATGAATTAAATTTAAAATTTAATGCAGGAAATAAAAACTAGAACCAATTAACCCAAGAAAATCAATTAAAACTGATCACCTTAATTTGGTTTAGTTTTTTCATTTTTCCTTATATATATTGGTCAGTTTGATTTTTATAATAGATTAAGTTACTTAATTCGGTTATTTGATTTTTACAATCAAATTAACTGAACTAATCATTTACTTAGCTCTACTCATTATCATAATTGCAAGGAAAGAATCCCTTAGGAACAAAACAAAGGTCCAAAGCAACCAAAGCAAACCTCTAGGGAAAAAACCAAAAAAGGGTCAACTTAAAAAAACCAAAACAAACAGGAAAAGGAATAGATAAAGTAATTAAAGCAAATACTTTCAAGGCAATCTGCATTACTAAAAATCCCAATAGTTATGCTTACTAAGGTAACTCTTGTATGATTACTCTTTTCAAGATTAAAAAGAATTGACATCCAAGCATTTAACTTAACTAATGTATTTTTTATCTTCTTGCTTTTGAATCCTTCATCCCCAATATAAAAAATAATAATAATAAAAAAGATTAAATTAAAGAATTAGATTTTATAACAAGTTAATTATTTCCCATTTGTTTATCACTACCTAAGGAAGGATCGATTTGAATGATTATTGATGGTGTTTTTGGTTATCTTAGCTTGGAAGAGGTGAAGTGGAGTTAAAAGGAAGACAACTCAAACTTGTAGCCAAAGAACACTATCAAGGAGTGCCAAAGTTGTTGCTTCGAGACTTACTCTGACACTCAAATTAGGAAAGTGTTTGAGGTGAAATAAGGAAGAAAGAAAATAAGAAAAGAAGGGAGAAGGAAGATGGTGAAGTATATATGGGAAACTTCAAAATGAAGCTTGAGTGTGTGTAGTATAAGAATACCTTACATACCTAGGCTTTTTCACTACCTTATGTATGAGATAATGGATGGTGATATGAGCATGACAGTTGATAGTTGATAGGATATATACATAAAGCTCATGACGGGTCTACATAGGTAATAGTGAATCACATTTAATAATCCTAAGCAAGGTATGGGTTACATTTATGATCACAGACAAGTTGGAGGCTAAGTGATCGATTTTTAAGAGATTGTCTAGATAGGACGTTAATGGGATGTTAGGCAAATCTTTCTTTTGGCAAAAGGTGAGTTGTTTCCTTGAGAACAGATGGCATGATGATCTAAACGTGCCTTACTTGGGCGACCTAGGAATATAACTGTATTGACCGAGCTCAGCCAAGTTAATCAAGTAAGTTGGCTATAACAATTGCCCGCAGGTTTGAAAGGGTTATAAAGTGACCCTTAGACCTTTGTCCAAAGCTTGAAAAGAAAAAAAAAAAAATTTTTGGCAAGAAAGCAATAGATAGCACTAAAATATATAAAGATTTACAAGTTCAATTTGGTTGAAAATTTTTGAAATTTGCTTGAATTTGGTACCTTTTATTTTTTTATATATATATATATTTAGATTTTTCTACTTAGAATGTAATTTACATGCAAAACCATGTAAGAGTTTATGCATGATGATATTTGGCCATGCAATAGAATCCATTTAGTATATGATTTCCTAAATTATACTTGAAGTAGGAATTCTAATGGCACTTAACTTCTACTTGTGTTTAGTTTTCCCATATCCAAGAGGACTTCTATATACATGTGATATTTGAAGACTTTCATTCAAGGAATGACTCTTAGATGCATTCAGTTAAGAAAATTTTAATTGTACAATGAATTTTTTTATCATTATTGAAAGAGTTGTATTTAAAACAATGACTTTTTGATCTTTGATCTTAAGAATTTAAATGTAATGCAAATACATAGTCTTGACAAAACCATGTTTAGTTGAAACTTTTTGAAAGATTGCAAGATTAAGAGTATGCAAGTGTGATAAACGTCCAAGATTGAATCCAAGAAGCATATTCGACCAAGTCATTCTAAGAAGTAAGAAACTATGTTCGAATAATCTCTTTTGGATCAAGATAACTTCTATCTTTTAGAGTTTAGATAACAACTTGTAGTCTTTATCTTTACCTCATAGCTGAACCTTTTACTATAAATAAAGAGGTTTTCTGTTCTATTCAACATCTCACTTCACATCATTCTTTTTTTTTCTTTTCTTTAGTTTTTTAGTTTTCTTTGTATTAGGCCAAAGTGATAGATTAGCCAAAAATCTTTTGTTTTCTAAAATAGTTCTTTATTTTAAAGCTTTCTTGTTTTCAATTTACAACTTTAAAGCTTTCTTTATTCTTTTTTGTTTTTAAGTTCTTTGCTATTTTTCAAGTTTTGGCCATAGTTCATTATGTCATAGAAGCTTACGATTTTTATGCAATCTTTGTTCAATTTTTATGCAATCTTACTTTTGGCAATCACAAATATTTCTTATTTCAAGTTTTTCAATCTTTGATTCTTTAGATTTAGCAGTATTCGATCTTAATCCAAGATTCCTAATAACAATTGGATATTGAGATCTTGACCTATATTAGTTTTCTTTAAATGTTCTTGGTTTATTATTCTTGCAATCAAATTATCTTATATTAGTTTAGATATAAGGCTTGTGGTAATTTGTCATCTTTGATACTTGAATCCACCTAACAATTTAATTCTATAATCATTGTGAGACAATACTTTATTTCATCACTTTATTACTTGATTATGATCTATGCATTTGCAAGTATTATAAAAACTAACAATCAAGTTTTTAGCTCCATTGTTGAGGATTATAACGGTATTCAATTCAATATCAACAATGATTTTTTTTACTTTTTTGTAATCTAAATATTTACTTTTATTTATTTCAAACTGTTTTGATCTTTTCTTTGTCTGTATGCGTAGATTTAAAAGTGTTGACCTAGCTCCACTTGACAACAAAATCGAAAGAACTCTTAAACGTTTGAGAAGAAAGCAAATAACACCGCTTACATCAGTTCAATTGGCGAATACAAATAATAAAGGTCATAAAATGTTGAGGGATTATGCTATCCCTAATGTTGATGGTTTTCGATCATCTATAAGAAGGCCTGTCATACAAGCAAACAACTTTGAAATAAAGCTTTCTATTATTTAAATGGTTTAAACTTCTGTACAGTTTGAAGGTTACCAAACAATGATCTAATTCTTCACTTATCTAATTTTCTTAAAGTATATGATACCTTTAAATATAATGGTGTTTCATATGATGCTATTAAACTAAGACTTTTTTTTTCTCTTAAGAATAAGGTAAATAGTTGGTTAACTTCTTGACCATCTGGGTTAATCACACCTTGGGATGATTTGGTGCAAAAGTTTCTTACTAAGTTCTTTTCACCTGTTAAAACAACCAAGCTAAGGAATGAAATAATTACTTTTATGCAATTTGATGGTGGGAATCTTTATGAAATATGAGAGAGATTCAAAAAGCTATTGAGAAAATGTCTACATCATGATCTCTTCCAATGGCTACAAATTCAAATATTGTACAAGTTCGCCCTCAAAGGTTCTTCATTCTGACTGGGATCAAAATGTGATGTTTTGAATGTATTTATACCCATTTCGATAGGTATCACTACTTTTATCTCATAGGTCAGTGTGAAAAGCATTTCTCTTATCGTAAGTGAACTATATTCTTGTTCACCTAAAGTATGCCAAGGGTCTTTTCTACCCAAGCCCCTTTTACTTCATTAAGTTTCTTCTTAAAGGCAATTAGAATATTCTAGTTCATGGACTCTACCCACCATTCGTTTAAGGATGGGCTATTGAACTATGAACTATGGTTGTCTTGAAGTTTTGATATGACCATTTCAACTTGTCTACTTGGAATTACGTCCCATTATTTGCCATAATGGTGTGAAAGAGGCCAAACCTATACAATTAGGGATTTTACCCATTTCTCTCTGATCCTTGCCATTTCTTCCTTTGTGAGGTGATGTTAATTTCATTTGATTCACAATCACCCTCTTGGCTTGGGGTTTCATCCTCTGAATCTGTGTCTATTTCCATACTTTCTTCTTTCTATGAAGATAAAAACTATTCATAACCTTCATAAAATGCCCCTAGTAAGGAGTCTCCGTAAAAGATGAATTTTCTTTCTAATGTTAGTTTTGCATTCTTAGTTGCATTATCATTCTCATTGGCATGAGAATCCTTGATCCTCTTGATGCTACATTGTAGTTCATTTTTCTTCTTATGGAGAGCATATTCTAAGAGCTATCCTTAACACCCATTAGAGGGTAAAAAAGCACATATTGCATCTAAAAAAACACATTCTGCAACTTTATAATATAAAAATCCTCTAAAATTTGTTACATCTTTTTCGTATTCTCTAGCAACAATAGGGAGCTAGTAATTTAAAGGTCCATTTGGATAGACAATGAGATTGAAAATAACGGTGGTGATGAGATTGATTATTATAGCGGTATGATTAATTATTGCAATAGTGATATTAAAATCAATGGTGAAATATTTATTTGGATGTAAACACAACGGTGATGGTGATATTAAGTGTAGTGAGAAGAGAAAGTGACAACTAAAGACATTATATTAAAATTTAAATATAATAGAATTTATACTATATATATGATATTTGTTAAATTAATAAATAATTAAAATTTATTAATTTATTATATAATAATAAAATTTAATTATTTATTATATTAAATTAAGTTAATTATTTTATAAATTTTTAATACAAAATTAAAATAAAAAATAAATTATAATTGTAATTTTGTCTTTAAAACTAAATATGAAGGACAAGAAAGGAAACAAAAAAAATAAAGATGGCGCGATCGCTTATTGAAACAAAAAACTTCAGTGGCTCATAGCTAAAAATCACATCTCACCGTAGTATCCAAACGAATTACAGTGTGTTTTTTTAATCTTTTTCTCACCTCTTGATGCAAACCGCGGCTCCACTGGAGGCTCGGTTGCGTCCAAATATAGCCTCAAAGCACAATTTCACCTAAAGAAAAAAAAAATGTCAAAGCAAAGTTTTCGTTTTTAACCAATTTCACTCTCTGCATATATTAGGGGTATAACAGTCATTTCATCTTGCTCACTATCACTGGTAGATTCTTCCTCGTGCAGTGCAGATGCGTGATTATCAGACTAGCAGTTACTTTAGGTTGTATCCATTTTTCTCTTGTAATAACAAAGAACCTTCTTTTAGGACATAATTTCTCAAACTCCCAGATCAGGTTTCCTACTTTTGTTAACTTGCAAACCCAGTTTCTTAACTTTTGGTATTGTAATGGAAGCTCTCTCCTTTGCTGTCTTCAGTTTCTTACTATTTCTCACAATTAAAGATCACTTTTGACTTTTGGAGTGAGAGTCCATATATTAAAGTTATAATCTTTTATCTTCTGCCTTAAATTTGCAGGTCAAATAGGAATTTTTGTTCTGATGATGCCAGTTCCTTCTCCTCCCCATATGGGTACTTTCCCTCACACTGATAACACTTCTCACATGGATAGTCCTCCTCACATACATATTCAACAAGATCTCTTTCCAGAGTAAGTCTGTTTTGTTCATCTCTTCTTTTTTCCTGCATGCATTTGTTGTTTATTTGTTTCTATTTGCTATTTCCCTTTATATTTGCTATTGGGATGAGTTCAAGGTGACAGTCCTGAGAAATCGAGTATGGGAAAGTAAAATTTGTTAGAAAGCAGAAATTTTCATGCAGAAATTCAGCTTTTTTTTAAGTTCATCTATAAATTTTTTTGAAATGCACATGTTGAGTAATGAATAAAAGGTTAGTTACCATAAATTAAAGAACTTACTATTATTCTTAAGGGGTGTGAATTTTCTTTTGCATAGAGGGAGCCTGGAAATGTCTAGGTCAGTTTGTGTTACCAATTAATGATGATGCATGGCTCTTTGGAGATTTTATCGTCTTCTTTGTTTCTTCATCAGATTGCTTTGTTTCCCACGCTGTGATGTAGAGGGGCTTCATATTACTCTAACCCTATTTTTAAGATTTAAACTAACTGCAATTGGAGACATGATTTATAATAATTAGCTACAGGAGAAGTCTTCTATTTCTAAACCCTTGGATAAACCATCATTCTCTCTGCAGAGTCATCAACTATTGCACAATGTACTTGTTGTTGCTATGGTCTATTCATCAACGAGTGAGCATAGCAGCTTCAAGATATGTTCAAATGAATTCATATGAATTTTTAAGTAATTTAGAAAATGTACCTTTGTAAGTTTATGGTGTGTGGTTATGTTTGCTTGATGTTATTTTATCCCAAATGCAGTTACTATGGTGGACCAGCTTCCATTCCATCTGAGCAACAAGAAAATTTTTTTGGGAATGATATCCGTAATGGAACTAGTGATTGTCATCCAGTAATTAAAGAGGAAAATAATTTCCCTGCACCAGTTCCTCCTGGTAGTAGTGGGGAAGGATTGCCTTATGCTCCTATAGATTGGCCAAATCCTGGTGATAATTGGAGCTGGAGAGTGGGGAAGAGGGTCAACAGCTCTGGCTTCTACAAGGATAGATTTCTCACTGTTCCAAAAAGTATTCGAATGCGAAATAATCCAAAACAGTTTGCAAGCAAGCCAACACTTGAACGTTTTCTCCAATCACATTTCCCAGATTCAGATATTAATGCGTTCTTTGCCTCATTTATTTGGCAGATCCCTGGCATTTTGGAATCTCCTACCAAAGGTTGGCTGAAAAACATATCTTGTTCTCTCATTCTTGCTGCCCTTTTTCATCTTGCAAGGAAATTCAATATCTAACATTTTCGTGTGGAGAAAGTTTGAATGCATCTTGATTTATATAAGATTTTAGTGTCTAATTATAGTTGGAGTGGTCTCATTTGGTTAGTGCAGCTCGGGTAGATGGGATTAACCAATTAAAGTTTCGTTCAGGTGAATTGTATCTAATGAGTCAAATCTTTACATTTCATGTTAGTAACTTCAGAAGTTTGAAATGCATGAGGAATGGAAGAATAAAAGCACCACTACTGGAAATAGGAAGGCAGTCTGGAGAAAGATACACAGACATTGATAAACGCACACATCCATTTTACATGTGTGTCTAGATACCCTTTTACAAGCTAGTATTGGTCTCAGTTTTCTGATCAAAATTCTGGAAAATTTCCCTGGAGTTTCAAAGCTTTTTCAATAAAGTGTTGTTTGATAAACTGAACAAATTCATTGAAAATTTTAATTTTCAATGGTTTATCAAACACACCCTAAGTTTCTTTAGATTTGTGATGTTTATACCGCAAACTGGGGGATTATTTCCCATACTTTGCATCTGCTTATAACTTGGTTGTGGACGCTTGCGCTTGACTAGCCAACAACACTAGTGGCAAGTAAATGTAATTAGAAGGTGGTACTAAGGTTTTCTATTGGGATCTCTTGATTGCTTTCCTTAAAAGCACTTCTGAGTGAAGGCACTTTTAAATTATATGGCAGTTATAATTTTAGGGTGTAGCATGATGATGGTCGGTATCACTATTTTTTGTTTCATCCAGCATTTGTGACTTATTAGAGTAAATGTAAATGAAATCAAGATTTTATCTGCACTTTAAGTGGAAGTTTCATTGCACCACCACTTGTTATAATAATTATCAGTAAGAACTTACTATTGCACAAGCAATTCTTCTTCAATTGGCTGCCATAACACCTTAATCACTTTTGAAAGGCCCTACCTGAATTCTAAGATTGGTGTCTAGCTAACTGCTGGCTATCAATATATTTGCCTGCTCGGAATAGTAACTTTCCATCCTTTCCTTGCCTGAGGAGGTAAGTCTATACTCCCTATAGACTGATCTTCTGCTCACTTGCTTTCTCTACATCCCCCGCTGTTCCCTCTGCATAATGTTGGATAGGTTTGTTGAACCAAGTCTACTGAAGTGGGGAGGGGAAAGGTGACATAATCTAATGCAGGCATGCAGACATTCCTTAAAAAGATGTGGTAAATGTTTCATTATTTGACATTAGAGATAAATGGCAATTATCCAAATTAATCCATTGCTCTTCATTCTTGTCTTCAATCTTCCCTAGAGTTCTAAGTTATAACATGTCTGTTTTCTCTTTATTGCTTAACTACAATACTTTTCTTTTATGTGATGAATGCGAACTCTCACCCTCTAGCACCAGAGATTGGAAAGGAGGATGTTAAAAATGAAATCAACAAAAAAACTCCCCGTAGCAGCCAGAGGAAGAGGACTGCCCTTTCCAATACTCCCCAGACTCCCCAGACTCCCCATTCCAGCAGGGGTAGAAAGAAGCAGAAGATGACTGATGGATCAGGCATAACTAAACGACAAACTCGGCACCGTCTTAAAGATTCCATCCCGGCCCCACCTGAAACTGAAGATACAAATGGCACTCTTGATATTTCTTTCTTAGATGATGAAACCACAAAAGGTTAGAATATGAAGTATCTATTCTCAATTTTAACATTTCTATTGAAAATGGTGTTGTTTCTTCCTTGCATTCACTTTTGATATGGTTGCAGAGGAATTTGATAACTACCTCAATTCTTTGGATGACATTCTTGCTCAGCCTCTCTCGGAAGAACCATTTTCCCTTCCAGCGATGCATAACTTTTTTGCCGCAGAAGATGAAATGGCTGAAGCTCGAATGAAACTATCTTCGTTTCTTGATATGGATTTTCCTTCTTTGATTTGCTTCAAAGACCTTGATGAACTCACACGTCTAGCATCTAAACTCCGTAAGGATCCTGCTCTTAATGCCGAACAACTTGTGAAGTTGAAGTTGATTGAAGAGATTCCATCATTTTGTGAGGTTTTCCTAGAGAATAGGGAAGTGATGGGGCAGGCAGACAAGTTCTTTACGGCCCTTGAGGTCAATAAGGCCGAGGTTACTTCACTCAGGCAAGAGTATACCGTGTTAAAAGAACAAGTGACGCATCTGCAGTCAGAGGTAGATTCCAACACATTGATTTTGCAAGAAATCGACGATCAGATAGAGCAACTTAAATCCCACCGCGCTGAACTTACTAGAATCATAGATAAAAAGAAAAGAGACAAGGATGAATTGACTTACAATCAAAAGTTGGTGGCCAACTCCATTCCTAAAGTTGTACATGATGTTCAGCTTGCTAATGCCAGAAAGCCAGAATGGGAGCTAAAGAAGGAAAATGCAGCAACGCGTGAGGCTGAAATACTTGCTAAATTTGCTCCTCTCAAAGGATTTTCCCTTTAAAATAATTATCTTCTGGAACCGTTTTTCTACTATGGTACTAATATTAAAACACTAAGTTATGGGACTATGCCTTTAATTTCTGTAACCATAGCTGAGGCTGATAGTCTCTTGTGCATTTCTTTTTGCGTTTTGTGACATTTTAATAGCTTCAGCAATTGGGTTGCCCTTGTAATATTCAGTGTGAAACTCAATCTCAAACTCTTAATTATCAAGCCTTGACTACTTAAGGTCTATCAATGGAGCATTTTGTAAAACAGTAACTCAATGACTGTTTGTATTTAAATTGCTAAACTAAAAGGAAATAGGCTATGTTACATGTTTTATCACTAACTTGAGGCATTTTTTTTTAGTTTGATCATTTAATTATGATATGATCATTAATATTTATAAATTTGATTCTTTTATCTAGTTGTTAGAGACTAGTAATGTGGTGATGTAGCATTGTCACGCTATTTGTGAGACGTGATATTATCATGTGATCTAACAAATTACAATTATGTGGCACTGTAAATTAAAAAAAAAAAAAAAAAACCGAATCACAATTTGGATCACTTAATTTTTTATCATTTTTATTTTGATAATCTAACTTTAAAAGTTTCTTGATCACCAATGTTTTTTAAATTATTAATATTTTGATCTTTATCGACGTCCGTAAAAATTAATATAATAAATTATTTTTACATTTGTTATTTATATTTTTTAATATTTCACTACATAAATTTCAGATTATAAACTTTCATTGTAATTAAAAATTTTGACATTATAAAATATTTTATTTCTTTAAATTTTCTTGGTCGGCTTGCATAATCTATAAAAAAAAAAAGGTACTTGAATTTATTTAATTGAATTGGATGACAAATACTTGAAGTAATTTTATTTTAATAATTTTGATAATTGAATTTATTAAATATATTTAACTAATTTTTTATTTATATCTAACTATTTTTGTTTTTCTTTTATTAAGAACATTTAATTAATTTTTTATTCAATCAAATGACTTGTGAAAAAAATAAATATGTTCCAATAAAAATATAATATTTTTATATATGTTACAAGTGATCTAATTAAATTATGAAATCATTCTTAAATGGAGATTTAACTTTTTTTAAAAAAGTTAATTTAATAAAAGACATGATTAAAAATTTCACTGATAAATCAAACACAAAAATTAGGTTGTTAAATTCAAATGTAAAATTATTTATTATTGAAATGCATCTTAATAATCTTACAAAGTGATAAAATTTTATGAATTTATGTCTGATGCATTGTAAGTATATAAATATTATATACTATCAATAAATTACATAAATATATAATCAAAAGTTAATTTTAAATTTTTAAAAAATATATATTTAAAAATTAATTTTTTATGATGCATTATTGTGGTTCAATCACAGTAAATAACATCTTTAACTTTTCTTTGCATTCTAAGAACTTACGTTAGAAATGTTAGTTTTATCCAAATCCGACAAAAAATTTAACTTTTTATTCAAATAAAAATAATAATAGGTATTAAATTTTAGAGATTGTGACAAAAATAAATATAATTTTAAATTTTTTATTGAGTATAAATATATAAATAAATAATATAATATTATCTCGTATTCATACATTATATATATTTAATAAATTAACTTTTTATTTGATAATATAAATTTTATTTTAGATTTATTAAAACTAATATATTTGTATATAAAAATATATATTTATAAAAAGTTATTTTAATGTGCAAAATAAAAATAAAAAATTACGAATATAAATATTATCCATATCAATTAAATTATCCCACAGAATGAATTTAAAATATCTTCATATAAATATAGATATATAATATAAAAACCCAAAATAAAAATGGAAAATTACCCGTTCCAACTCCTGTCCATTTACATTCCTGTCTCGCATAGATGGCATTTTTAGTAAGAAACTCTTTCCAATAAGGGTAAAATCGACCTTCAGGTATAAGAATTTTCCTATTACGGCAAACTAATTTGCCGTTGATTCCATGGTCGCCCTCCTTGATTCCTTAATTAGTCCTTTTTTGGGTTTTATTAGGGTTTCATTTTCTTTTTTCAACCTGTAAAAACGAAAAAATCGTTTCTTCTCTTTTATTTTTTCCTTCCGTTTAATCCAAACTCCAAAGTTCGTCTTCTCTCTCTCCGCTGATTTCTTTTTTTCTTTGTTTAAATTTTGTTATATTTATCCTTGAAATTATTTTATTTCTTAAAAAAAAAAAAACTGTTTTAGCAGGTGCAGAGATCGTGTCGCTCTCGTGTAAATTTTAAAATACAATCTGAGGTGATTCTTTCGCTTTTTCGCTTGAATCAATTAGTTAAAAGATGAAAGATTGAGATTAATATTAATTAACTTAGTATTCGTATGTTGAATCACCGAACAACGTTCGCGTAATTTCGATTGTTTGAAGAGATTCTTTAATTCTTTATTCTATGCTAAAAGAACCTGCATTTATTTATTTATCTTTTTTTTTATAATGTACTGAAATTTGAATCTTTAATATATTGATTTGAGTGATTGATCTGAATTTGGAAACGATGAATTGGTCAATATGAAATTAAGCTGTAGCTTTGAGTCCTAACGGGATACTGTAAATTTAGCTAAGCAAATCTTTGCTTGTATTTAAGGCCATAGGAGTAGGATCATGAATGATGGAATTGGCATTGTGATAACTAAAGGTCATATTTGGTGCATAGGATGATAGATTGGATAATATGATAATCATTCTATATTATGTTTGGTTTGTGTCGAATTGAAGTGGGTATAGGATGATCTAATCCTTACAAAGTGGAAAGGATTATTTTTAATCCATGGGATTAAACTTATTTGTCTTATTATACTCTTAAAAATTACATCAATAATTTAAATTGTGTAAACTTTAAGGAAGGATAATTTTGATCAATAAATAAATTATCTTATCTTAATCCTTACACACATCAAACATAAGATAGGATGACATTATTTAATCTAATCCTATTCATAATATCATTTTATCCTATCTTATCATAATCTTGTGTACCAAACATGACCAAATTGCTTTATAGTCTGTTAATTGCTAAACATGTACGAAATTTTGAATTGCATTGAGTGCAGTGTGCTGGCCATTGGCTACTTGTCAGCTAAACTAGAATCTTATGGAGCTTGATAATACTAAGGAGACTAATGGAACCACGCCTAGGAAAAGAGAAAATGGTCTTCGTCTTAGGCCTGTCTTGCCAGACGCATCTGGTGTAGGCTTGCCATATGCTCCTGTTGATTGGCCTAAGAAGGGTGATGTATGGACTTGGAAGGTGGGGAGAAGAGTTGCCATCACTGGTCATTTCTTGGATAGGTACTTGTATCCTCCAAAGCGCCTCCACAATCTTCTGAACTCAGGCAGGAAACGTGGTCTTGCTAGCAAGCTTTCAGTTGAGCGGTATGTCCAAATGGCATTCCCTGATGCAGACATTAATGCCTTTTTTGCTTCCTTCATCTGGAAGATCCCTGCGAAAAAGCATTCGTTGACAAATGGTCAGCTCCAAATAACTTTGTTTTTCTGTTCCTTCAATTTTACAGTCTTCATGTGCTCATTTGAGTTCTTTTGATTTCTATGGTTAGCTGCATTAACTTCTGCTTTATTTAATGGCATAGTCATAGTCATTGACAAATGGTCCTGTGCTATATTCATTGAATCCTGTTTCTATCTGTTTGACATAAATTACACCCAATAATATGATTCTCTAAAATCAAATTAGACTGGAGTGTCAAGATGCTATTGACCAATATCTTTTGGCCACATGGATGATTTGCTGATCCTTTTGGTTGAAGTATATGTTTGACTTGTTGCCAAGATTAACAATTGCTTGCACTGGCAGTATTGAAGAACTGATCACTGGCTTTTGTTAGGAATGTTTTCCTTCTGGTTTCAATTAAAGGCTTTTTCTGTTCATTTTCTTTCCTTTTGGTTTTCTTAGATTCTTAATCATGAAATCTTCCAAATCTTTGAGCAGGTTGTGGTTTTCAGACACTTAACATCGTTCTAATTGTTTAATATGTTAAAATTTTTGCAGATGAGAAAAATGAATAGAAAGCTATTGACTTCTAGTTCTACTGTTTTTTGGAATTAAAAGCCATTCTTGAAATAATGTTTGATTGTATGGATGCAGCTTGTATAGTTTAATTTAATTTTAATTAATGAAGAAAATATCCTATGTGACCAACAAAAGAATTGATGTGCTCTTGAAAGTTATATTTAAACTGAGAAACCTGTTAGTTTCTTGCCTGCATTCTAGATGCGTCATATTTATCTTAGAGTATAGCCATAGATAATAAAATAACTCGTGCAGCCATGATCATCTTTACCACTTAATATCTGACTCAAACTGCTTTTTTGACAAATCATATTTTTCAGCGCAATCATTGAGTTAATAATGATATTCTTTTGTATATGACTTATTTTTTATTCCATGAACTTGGAAGTGGATTCTTATAAATGTCTATCACGGCATCTCATAGGTAATGGTCTTATTCTTTTAATTTATGTTCTTAGTGTTTTGTCCCTTTGTATTATTGAAGACTGAATCCTTACTGTGATGTCCCCTTTCTGAGACAGCATATATAGAATCTCCTTAAATGTTTTAAGGTAGTTTATTCAAGATGTCTAGGTTTAACCATGAACTACTTTTCCTTGTCCAACAAACTTTTGGTTGTTAATGAGTAATGCAGTGGCACGGGCGATCTTTGTTGCCCCTTCTGAAGAGTTAGCTGACCTTTCAGTTACAGAACCCCAGTATGATGGTTTGACTTGTAAGGCTGGAAATAAGAAGTGCAACAGTTTATTTGCTGAATCAGAAAGCTCTTCTTTGGTTCCCTTGCCTTGTGATCTTTGCTGCGATGAACCTCACTTCTGCCATGACTGCTGCTGTATTCTGTGTAGCAAGACTATTGACTTGAATTATGGAGGTTATAGTTATATCAAATGTGAAGCAATGGTGGATGGTTGTGTATGTGGGCATGTTGCTCATCTGAACTGTGCTCTTCGCTGTTACATGGCTGGGACAGTTGGAGGTAGCATTGGGCTGGATGCTGAGTATTATTGCCGACGTTGTGATGCAAAGACATGTCTGGTTCCACATGTGACAAGGCTTTTAAAAACCTGTGAATCCATAGATTCTCCTGATGACATTGAGAAGATTTTGAACATTGGTGTCTGTATTTTACGTGGTTCACAGAAGACCAATGCAAGGGTCTTACTGAACCATATTGATTCAGCTATCACAAAGGTAAAGCCAATGCAATCTAGCTACAAGACTTAACAGATTTCTTGCTTTTGCAAAAATTTTTCTTTGTGCACTTTTGGGGTTTTCATAAAAACGCTAGTAAGAGCTTTTGGTATTTACATCAGCTTAAATGTGGGACTTCTCTTGGAGATATCTGGAAAGTGAAAGAAATTGATTCCGCTATTTCAGCAGGTAATTTAACTGTAATCTCATGCATGTGAAAATTAATAAAGTCACAACTTTGCATTAGGTAGTAATACATGAAACATTTGATTGCATTAATTTGCATCAAAATATTTGCTGCACATTTGGAAATTGAGGAGCTTAAGAAATAACCTCCTTCATTTTTCTCTCTAAGATGGGGCAGTTTGTTTTGTTATTTCATCTTCTTTTCAATCTAGTAGGTGTTAATGCATATCACTTACACAGTGGGTTTTCTGGAATACACCTATGAATTCTGTTGTTAAACCCTTTTTACTCAACTTTCAGTAGGTAAATTTTCCCCACTTATTGCCTTCAATCACATCATTTTGGGTTATTGATAATATTCATCACCACCGTGAGTCTTTCCTTAGATGGTATGGACATATAATGACATGTGACTTGTCTTTTGAGGGTGGCCAAAGCACACACAATGTAATATTGGGCAGGTGAGAGAATTCCAGAATTTAAGCATGGATAGATTTATTGAAGTTTGAGAATTTAAAATATCTAAGCTCGAAAATTTGAAATAAATTTCTTAGTTTTTCCCCGGGTCTAGAAAGAATGCTGAGCTGTATGTTGCATGTGATGCATTTCACTGTGTCTATTATTTCCTTGTTACCTTTTCGTACTTCCTCTCTCTCTCTCTCTCTCTCTCTCTCTCTCTCTGTGGTATGGCTGGTTCATGCATCTACATAAAACTTGGATAAAAAATCACCATTTTGGTTTATGCTCAGGTGTCCTCCATAATGGAATAGAAGAGCTCGAACCATCAAACCATCAGGACTCTCTAGATAGTGGACCATGTTTGGTGTCAGTTCTATCAATATCTTCTGATTATCAGAGTGAATACCAAAAACTTGAATATGAGATTGATCAGGTTCTTCAGGCTCTGAGAAAGGCTCAGGAGTCTGAATATAAAATTGCAGAAGAAAGGCTTGATGCTCAGAAGAATTATCTTCGCAATCTTTATGAGCAACTGGACAAGGAGAAATCTGAACTGTCAAGTCGGGCATCGGGAACTGAAGCAGATGCATTGCTGAATGCTATCTTGAACAGAGTGGATCAGATAAAACAAGAAGTCATGAAACTCAAAGAAATGGAAGAAGTGGCCAATGGATTTGGAAGGACTCCTAAAGGTACACTGAAGAAACACTTTGGTTTGGAAATTGAGGACTAAAGTTTCTGCATAACAATGGGTTAATTTGTCCACTGTACAACAAATTTTGCTTTGAACTGTAAATCGTCCTTTGAACGGATTACCTTGCATCTTTGACCCTGAAGTTGCATAGTGCAAAATAGGTCAAACCATGCACCCCAAAAATTGCGGTTCCTCTCTCCAAGGGGATTGAGAGAAGGCATGCGAAGGCTGTTAAAGAAGGAATGGTGCATTATAAAAATTGGAATTGAACTCAGCCCCTAGGGCAAGTTATGATCTTATGTGGTCGGTTTTATCAGTTTACTCAGTTTTTTCCTAAGTGTCCTATATTTCATTGATCACTGATGAAATTGCATAGAGAAAATATGTTACGAAGCTCGACTGTTAGCAGAGAGGAAGTTGTGGTTCTAGATCATCCACTCTGGTTTATCCAATCACTGGTTTTGTGTTTTGAATTCGTAGCCAGATTTGGTGGAACTGCTGTTAGAGAAACTACTAAAAATCATGTGAGTTGGAGTATGTTGTGTGCCATTAGGGCTTTGTGATTGGATATAATGTTTTTTGACACTGGAATTCTTTTTTTTATTATTTTAATTTTCTCAGTAAGAAAAAGGCAGTCTTGTGCAGAGATTTTCTGTTATTTCTCGTGGCTAGGTTTAATGTGAAATAGAAATTGAAAGTATACATTTCCTTTGTTGCTTGTTTAAATATTTGCCTTCCTGGAATAAGCCGGCAAGTCTTATGGGCATGGTTACATAAACACAGCATTCTGTTTGTAAGAGTAAATTACGCTCCATGCCTCTCTATTTAATCTAAAAGAACCATTATTTATTTATCTGAAAAATTTTTAATTTAAAAATTATTTCTTTTTTAGCTAATAAAAGAATTATTTAAAAATATAATAAATTTAATTTTATTTAATTTAAGTTATAATATTTTGAATATAATACATGTCTAAATTTTATCTCTAAAAAAAAATCTAAATTTTTTTTAAAATTTTTAATTTGTATCTACTTTTTTTCTCTTCTTATATTTTCCTTTAATCAAGGATCAGAATTAGGGTTGACAGCTCAAGTCGAATTCGAAGGGTTTCGATTTAATCCGATCTCATAAAGTCAATTTTTTTTTTTGAAAATCAAGTTTCAAATTGGGTATTATTAAGAAAAAATTAGGGTCAGGTTCGGGTTTTAAGTAAATTTTATTCGATCCGATATTATATTAAAAATTATTTTTAATTATTTTTTTAATTTTTAATTTATATATAATTATATATTTATATTTAAAAAATAATATTTTATATTTTAAAAAATAATATTTTATTAATTTTGAGTGAGATTGAATTCGAATTTTATTATTATGAAAATCGGATCGAATTCAGAGTGAGTAAAAACTCATCCGATCTGATCCGTTATCAACTCTAATCAAAATTAAATCAATCATTCTAGTAAGTCCCAATCCAATGAAGGGAGATGAAGGGAAAGTAGAAGAAAAATAACAAAGAAAAAAAAATTTTGTTTCGTACATGTGAGATGACTCTTTCTTTTTAATGTGTTAGATACGTAATTTCAATTGAGATAAAACATGTGTCACACATGTATTTTCAACTGAGATTTTAAAGGAAATAATAACGGAACATTGAAAATACAAAAATTAACAAGTTATTTTTTAAATTACAAAGACTCTTGGCCAAAAAAAAAAAAAATTACAGAGACTGAACTGATCGATCCAAAATTTGAGGACTACATAACTTAGAAAAATTAACATATATAACCGTATAACAAGAGTAAATTACACCGTCACCTTCATGATTTGGCGTTAATTACGCAGTAATCTTACCCTTTTTTTATTTTTCCCATATGAAACCATCTTGCCCCGCTGCTTGCCACTCACAGCATTGTCGTTTATAGAGAATTTGATTGTTTTCCTTTTTCTATATTATGTTTTTTATTTTATTTTCTTTTATAACATTCATCTATGCTTGCGTTTGATACTTTCCTAAATTTTGGATAATTGATGCACATGACAAAAAAAAAAAAAGAAAAAAACTTTTTTCTATTATTTGAATTTAAATTTATTAAAAAAAGATAAAAAGATAATTTCTTAAAGATTCGATAAACTTTACATAAATAAACATGTTTAAACAAAACCCAAAAATCTTTTAAAATTTCTGCTCTTAATCATTGTCAAAGAAGTAAAAGAATGCTACATCTAGTGTTTGATCAAACCAGTTAAGAGGTTAACTTGTCTTGAAAATTTTCACATAGGAGCCATGACTTCTTTGACAAGATTATTTTGATATGGGTTAATATTACAAATAACCTTAAATTATAATAAAAAGTGCAGTCTAGTATCCAAATTTAAAAAACTTTTAATATGATAATTAAATTACAAATATGTTAATTAATATGAAATTTTAAAAATTATTTATCCGTCATGTATCATTATTTAAAACTAATCATATTAAAGATATATAACATAGTACCTTGTTAAAAATTTTAAAATTTAAATGTTAAATTAAACATTTCATTATAATTTAAAAAGCATTCTTGACATTAACCCTATTGATATAAAATATTTACAGCAATTTGGGGTAGCATCAGAGGCTCGGCCATGGGACATTCTTATGTCTCGATTCAGCAAAGAGTGGTGGGAGCCCAGTATGATGCTTAAAGTATATCGTGAGGGGACGCAACATTCTCAAAATATTTGTGAAGGAATCTACCTTTAGCGTGTCACACCACAATTGAAACCCAAAAGGCATCCTTATCAAGAAAAATGATATCAAATAAATCCCCCCCACTTCATCTAAAAGGAAGTCCAATTTCTAGGAAAAGCAGTTAAAAGGTAAGCAAAACGATCAACCTGGTCCCTGGTCAAATTTCATTGTCAGCCCCTCCCCACCCCATCTCAAGGGCTTGGGGACCTGTGGTGTGGAAGTTGAACTTTGTACCTACAGCTTCCAACACTAAAAGATGGGGTTGCCTGGAGCTAGGATGGCCACATCTAAAATATAGTCTGAATGGTGGAAACCGACCTTTCGTGCGAGGCTAAGAATACAAAGTTTATGTCAATTTGGGAATGATGGCATGTACAATAAGAAGAGTTCATGGAATATATCTCAGTAAATTAAGATGAGAATGCAGGCTCATCAAGCAGTGACAATCATAGACTTGGAACGCTGCAGGAAAATTTGAGCTTAAACACTATCTTTGGTATGAACCAAGATGAACTAGGTATGACATACAAAACTTCCATACAAGTTGATAATGATTTCCAATTGGCTTTTTGGACCAATGAATTGATAACCAAAAAGCAATAAGGAAGGATATTTGACATTATGAATCATCAGGTCTAACAGGAATAAAGGAGATGGAATTTCTTTTTTTTTTTTTTTTTAGAGAGAAAGATGTAAACAAAAAGATTCATCATAATAATATAAGAATAAACTACTTAAAGACCTCAAAGGATAATGTGGATAATGTAGTTTATCATTACTTTGCAAGAGCTTGTTATGCTAGAAGACATATTAAGTCACTAAAATAAAAAGGCAAAAAATGAAACCCTTAGGTCCAAGATTTGGTGGCCTTACCTAAACCGACCAAGTCAACCAAAAAGCATAGATTCTTAACCACAAAGTAAGAAGGGAACCAATTCTTAACATCAGCACAAGAAAAATACTTGTGCTTTACCATTTCCTGTTTGAATTTCATCCAAGGATGCACACAAGAAAATGCAGACTTATAAAGCACCATGAATCTCTAGAACCAAGACTGGAAAGTAATCATTTTGGTGATCACTACCCTGTAATGTCAACTAACATGTAACATTTTGATTCTTGATTAGTTACCAAGAAATGTGAAGATGAAAAGACAGTAAATTTGTGAATAATTTTCATCTTTATTTTAAAAATAAATTATTAGTTCTTAGTAAAACAATATATTGCATACACTGAAAACAGGAAACGGAATAAAAACACTGATAGTGGGGATGCCATTTCTATTACTGCACCTAAGAAAGACCTTTTCATCACTTCCTATCTGCCTAATGATGGGATGAGCGATAAAAAGAACCCAACTTCACTCAAGCACATATTTAGACCATTTTATATTGATTCTCACTTCTATGGAAAACAATATATGAACAAAAAAAATCCACAACCATGTTTAGGATCATTTTTCTCATAGTCAAGAACTTATGCCAGGCATGTAAATTCCTATGAACATACAAAAATACAAAACCTTTTCAGGCCTCAAGAAAAAAAAAAATGCACCATTAGCGGCCTTCATAGACATAAACATGCACATAAAAACAACTATTATACTCGAAGTTATAAGCCCCTCTAAATCCTTCAATAAAACTCATCAAGATCATGCCAAAGAAATCATCTAAATTCCACAATAAAACTCGTCAAAATCAATCATAGAAAACAATATCAAGCCAAAACTATCATAATGCCCATCATGCAATAGAAGAACAATACTTGATTTGATGAAATAACAAAAGGTAACCATAGGAAAAAAAAAAAAGAAAGGCTAAGCTCCACCAACGAGCTTCAAAAGCTAAAATGAAAATAACATGCAATTAAAAACAAAGCAAAAGATTCTATCTTTTTTTACAGAAAAAGAACAAGCCTGTTATTATTATTACCGTTTTCCATTCCTCCTCTAAACTCCCGATTCCCTTCACCACCACCACCACCACCACCTTCTTCCTCCAAATTCTCCAATTCCCCTCCCTTCGGCACCGTCACAATTAGCTCCCCGTCCTCGTAAACCGCACTCGCCAGCTCCGGCCGAGTCGTCTCTGGCAGCCTAAACCGCCACATGTCAAGCTCCAAATCATCCAACGAACTAAAATCCACCAAACTGTTCGACCTTATCACAATCTTAGTAACCCCAGGATGGATTTCCACCGAATAAGCCCTTACAACGTCGCCGATGCTCCCATCCGTTTCGGCGACGAACTTGAAACAGTCGGGGCTCTCCTCCACAGCCACGTCGGCATCCGACCTGAACGGCAGTTCGAGGACGCGGCTGAAGATGTGAGGCAGCCTCCGGAGCTTCTTGTGGGACCCACCAGTTAACAAGGTCTGAGATTGGAACCTTGCGCTTCTCGGGTTCATCACGTATTGGATAGTGATGTTTCTTTTCCCGGGTAATGGGTGGATTCTCATGACGTTGTTGAGGTTATTTGGGATTTGGGTTTTCGGTTTCAGTTACAAAGATTTAATGCTTTGGAGGTGAATTGTGAAAGAGTGGAAGGAAAGGAGACTGCTTGGAACAAGATTAGTAGTAACAAGAAAGATGCTTTGGTGAAGAAAAGTGAATAAATTTCGATAGGAATCAAAACATCTTGATCAAGTTGTGGAGTGGAAAAGGTGAAATCATGAAAGCAAAGGTGTCAAATATTCTTTTAGTTGCTTGGTGTTTTTTGGAAGAATTTGATAAAGAAGCCCTAAAGGGTTACGGAAAAACTAGAATGGGTGAAGCATGATTAAAATAATTTATTCTTTGAGATTGAGTGTTGAAAAGGGCAACTAGATTTTATGATTAGGGAAATTTTGTTTGAAGGGGTCTGAAACTCTACCTTTTATTAATGGGCGTGCAGAAAACTAAAGGCTTATAAGGCTACCATTCTTTTTTTTTTTTTCTTTTTCAAAAGATATAACCACTACTATTATCGATTATTGTTTACAAATTATTTCACTTTAATTTAATTAATTAATGATTAAGCAGTAAAATAAAGCTATTTCTTGCATATGAGAATGGAAAACAGATAATGATTAAATTTTAAAAACATATATCAATTCTGCATCCATCACTGATTCTATATAACTCAGTCTTAAAATAAATTGGTCTTAAAAAAAAAATTGAAGCCCATGATTAACAAATTGTTAATCCACAGACTGTTGAATAATAGTCAAGGATACTACCCCCATAATCCCACCCAATTCTCAAAGTAGGACCCAATTATTCTTAATTTATTTTCCTAAACCCATTTTAATATTGATTTCATATTTTCTTGGATAGAAAATGGGTTTTGACTTGTAATTAATAAAAATGCAATATCCTTGATATTATCCATATTTTTCCCATTTGAGTTAATCAGTCACTAGTTGAAAATCATTCTTTTTTTTTTTTCCAATATAAACTAATATAAAATTTGTTCCCATTTTTTTAGCAAAAAATTATTTTTGGATTTTTTTCATTTTAAGGTCAAAATAGGTTGTAAATTTCGTAAAAAATATATTTTAAATTTATAGATTATCTCTTAAAATAAACTAATGATAACGAATATTAAATTAAATTTTATAAGCAAAATATTTTTTTATTATTTATTCAGTCAACTTTGTTGATAATTTATTCTTAATTTTTAATTAACAAAAATTGCATCCAACTAAAAATAAGAATAAACATTCACCAAGATCTTTCAATGTTACATAATGTTCTTGAATTGGAAATTGAATTGAACATTATGTAATTTTTAGATGTTGTAGAAAGTTTTGCGTGTAAAAACAAGGAATGAAGGTGCCATGATCCTTCCTAGAAAGGATGACCTGTTGTTCCATTGTGAATCAGAAAACTTTTTTTCACCCTTTATTTTACGTATTTTTGGTTTGGTTAAGCTTTATCTTTCTCTTCAATTTTTTGTTAAATACCGTAAACGAATACGAATATTTGTTAATTAAATAAAAAATTATAAATAAAATAAAATTTATTTATATCCGATTCGTTTATATATTAATAAACATAACAAAAAATATAAAATAATAAAATATTGGATGAACAAATCATAAATAAGTTCAATATTTATTTATTTATATTCGTTTATTAAATTTATCAAACAATGATGGATAACATATTAATATTTATTAATTAAATAAATAAATTATAAATATGATAAAATTAATTAATTTTCGATTCGTCTACATTCCTATCAAGTGTATACAGTAAGGTCCCAAAGCCCAAACGTGACATGCTGCATACTTTTCCCCCTCCATGATGTGTCACTTTTACGCCTCCTAAAGCTAAAACAAACATTGCTTAAGATGGTAAAAACAATAAACAAAGATTTCATGTTCTCAAGTTAACGATGTAATTAAGAGATTGATCACATGATTTTACAAGTTGTTTTTAAAACTTTAACTGGCTTTAGAGAGCAAGCCAAAGTTTAGTTGAGAAGGAAGAACATACATTAAACTAGTGACAAAATCATGACATTTACACCTAACATTCCCAAATCATGATTTTCATCTAAAGTGAAGCCATAATTTGTTGAATGCCTACCTTTCTGAGGCAGTAAAATGGCCTGTAAATGAGTTCCATCTAATTAAATTCAAGAACATGGTCATCTGTCAGTCAATCCACAGAGCTATGTAATCTCCATAATCCAAAGTATATGAATTTAGAGTGAATTCATGCATGGGACAATGGTTCACTGATGAGAAACTCGTGCCTGTTCTTGGGCCATGGCCCAGTGTTGTTGATGGGTTCAGTCTAAGAATCCATGTATGCCTAGGGACGGCAATCAAGCCCGTCCCTGACGGGTTTCGGCCCGACCCGACCCTATAGGTTCGGGTTTTTTTTTTTGAATTTCGAGTTTCGGGTCGAGGTCGGATCGGGAAAAATTAAGTAACAATCGGGGTCGGATCGGGTTCGGGTATGCCTAAAACCCGACCCTACCCAACCCGACATTATTAAAAAATTATTTTTTAATTAATTAATTAATTATATTTATATAATGATATTTTTAAATATTTATATTTAAAAAATAATATTTTATTAATTTCGGGTCAGATCAGATCGGATACGATTTAAATAATGTCGGGTCGGGTTCGGGGCGAGCAAAACCTACCCCGAACCCGACCTAATGCCATCCCTATGTATGCCTCTCACTCATCACTGTTTTTGGCTATTTTTGAAGTTCCCTTTGATTTAAATACGACATGATATAATTTTCTGTTTATCTAATTTTAATTGAATACAACATGATATCTTATTTTCTATTAGTATTTGTTTTTGTTCTGCTCTGCGACTTATTAGAAAGTAAAAAAAAATTGTAATAGCAAAACAATAGATATATATATTTTGTGATGAAACCAGTGTCGGTTTGTTTAATGAATTTAGTTGCCAACAGCTGCTGTCAGAGTGAATATTATTTATGATGCAGTGGAGCTTTCTGAAGAGATGAAGAGGGACAACATTGAGGCGGATAAGTTTATTCTTTCCAGTATTCTTTTTGCTTGTGAATGTGCTGGTAATCTGGATTATGGGAAAGCAAATACATTATTCAAAAAGATCTTGTGGTCAATGCTCATTTTAGGATGTATGCAAGTTGTGGTCGCGTGGATGTTGCACAGCAATTGTTTGATCAGATGACACCAAAGAACTTGGTTGCTTCAACAGCCATGATTTATGGGTATATATTTAAGACACGGAGATCGAGTTGAGGATGGTAGATTGATTTTTGACCAAATGGTATGGAAGGACTTGGAATCATGGAGAGCAATGATATCCGGTTATGCTGAGAGTGACCAACAACCTCAAGAAGCTCTTACATTGTTTAATGAACTGAAAGATCTAGGAATAAGACCTGATCAGGTGACAATGCTGAGTGTTATTTCTGCTTTTGCGAATCTTGGTTTACGAGATAAAGCCAAATGGATACATGTTTATGCTGAGAAGAATGGTTTTGGAAGAGCTTTGCCTATCAAGAATGCTCTCATTGATATGTCTGCAAAATGTGGGAGTCTGGATAGAGCAGGAGGGATTTTTGAGAAAATGACCAATATGATCAATTCATTTGCGACACACGGGGATGCCAATAATAATCTAAGCTTCTTTCATAAAATGAAAGAGGCTTATATCGAGCCCAATGGAGTTACATTTGTAGGTGTGCTTTATACTTGTAGCCATGCAGGGTTGATCAAGGAGGGCCGAAAATTCTTCGCATCCTTGATTAATGAACACACAAGATCACTCCTAAATATAAACGTTATAATTAGACATAATAATTCGTATATTCATATCATATAAAATATTAATAATTCATATATTTGTACTCATATAAACATAAAATATATATTTTTTATTTTATTAAATTTATATATAATTTTTTAAAATTATAAATCATATTATTTTTATAATTATTTTTATAATTTTATCATTGTCTCATATTTTATATTACTAATATTGGTTTAATCCGTACTAATGTGGGGAAAGTTGACCTTTATGGCTATATTATAATATGGAAATGTTTAGATTTGTCACTGATTTTCTTTCTCTTTGAGAATCAACCGAGCCAGTTTGGGAAAATCTCTTCCAGATCAAGAACTAGTAACTATACTCTTCATTGCAAACTCCTTGTTCTTTAGCCAATAATTTATCAGCATAGGAAAGAAAAGCCAATATCTCTGCTCTCATTTCCCTCATCAGTTCAGAGTCATTTGACCTTTTAAGGAAAACTGCAAACCTAAAAGGGTAAAAACCATTCCATTCCACTCCTTTTTAATTCAACCTTTCAATATTCAACTCATTGGAAGAACATCAAAAACAGACTTGTCATGGGAAAAACAGTAGCAAGTTTAGAATAATTTCATGCTGACCATGGTTGGGTAAAAAAATACAGGAAAATGGAATACCTCATAGCCTTTGGGTTTTGAAAATTGGGAAAAGAGATATTAAAACTGTGTTTTGCTATGAAACATTAGTATTTGGAGATAAGAAAAAAGTTTGAATTAAAATTGAAATTTTGAAAAATTTTTGTCTCTTCAAATAGGAAAATAAAAAGATGGGAAAAATGCATACTATATCAGGTGGGGGTAAAGAAAAAAAAAAAACAAAAACAAAAACAAAAACAGGAAGAAGCCTCCATTGAAATAATATATCCTCTGTTTTGACCAAAATTAGTACAGTTTTGTGCCAGCTGATCTTGTGAGCTTCTTAGAATAAGGAGGTGAATTACGTGTACTCGAACGGCTGGATTGGATTTGAATTTGCCGCAAAATGACTTGTGAACTCTAACAGCTTCTTCAACACGAAATTGCTTCTTGCTTCTTGCTTCTACTCACTTCATCTCAAACAGCTTCTGAGAATTACCTACATCGCCATTTTCCATCAAATTTGGCCTTGACTTCATTGATATAATCTTGGGTGCAATCTTCTTTCAGTACACAACACTCTATCTGATTTAATTTCAATATCCTTTTTCTTCCTCTAATCCCTTTTTTTTTCCTTCCAGGAAAGTGATAAAACAAAGTGCTGCTGGTAGTAAGGCTATTCTTATAATTAGATTTGATTGCAATGATTGTCATAACGTATAGATTTGTGGATATATCACTAGACATAAATTTTATGAGTTGTCATCAATATTTTTCATTTTAGTATGATTGATCATCTAATCGAATCTATCTTAAACTTGATTCAAAAATCTTTAAAAGATAGATTTTAGTATACAAAATCAGATTTTAGATTCATAGTACGGTTACACATGAGGAAGATTATAACACCCTTATAACATCCATCTAAAGGACAATATCAATTTGATTTCAAGTTATTCAAGTCTTAGAATATTTTTTTAATTTACAAAATAATTTAATTATTAAAAATTAATTTTAAAATTACTCTAATAATTTTATAGTAATTTAAGATAATTTTCTCATTTCAG